AAAAAACAGTTATTGGAAGACTGTAGTAGGTGCTAGAGTATTACCTTATTTTGTATTCATAATTTTGACAGCTGATAGCTATGTTTATAAATTTCAACCTCAAAAAGTGTTTATTTTTGTTTGTGATTTTCTGCTGATACCCGTTTTTCGATCCACAGTAAAATAGATAACTACTGTGAAAAATAAATTTTCTAAGTAAAATTACGTCATCGTCGAAAAGCGAAACGTCAAAGTCGTCCAAAATGTCAGAAATTTAAATTAAGGGAAGTTTACTGCCTCGCACCAACCATACACAAATAAAGACAAGCAGGAACTTTATTAAGGGAATCCTTATTTTCGGACTCGATTGCGCAGGCGTAGATGTCAAAATAAGGCTTATTTAAATGCTGCTTTTTCTTATTGCACGTCCAATAACGCTCTAGTGGGTGATATGAATAAAAACGAAGTACGTGCTACTACTACTAGTATTAGTATATTCTACGTAGTATTTACTTCAAAAAGAAGCATTTACTAGTTTCCGGAAGTTTCGAAATGTAGTATCTACTTCGTTTTGAAGTAAATACTATGGAGAATCTACTAATATAGTAGTAGCAGATACTTCGCTTTTATTCATACCACCCAATAGCTAGTACCTGCGTGTAAAAATAAACCATCAAACGCTTTGTTTGTCCCCCCATCGAAAGTCGAATGTAAGGTTGTGTGTGACGTCAGCTAGTGCCTAATTAATGGGGTACCTATAATCGAAAGTATAAGGCCTACAGAATATAGAAAAGTTGGGTTGTCTATTTTTTTCCTGGCATAACTATTGGGTTGGCAGGTTTGAACAGGCAAGTCTATACTAGTAATTTACCCATTTACCCATCTGTTTAATATATAAATCTTACATCAAAATAAACGTTATTTCATTACGAACACGATGATATAGGGTTGTCTGCGAAAAATCTGTCCAAAATCACGCTTGGCGAGCTTTGAATAGTGAAATTTTGGTGCGGATGGAAATATGCGACAGAGAGGTTCCAGCGAACTATCTGGTGCAATAGAAGCGGACTTGTGGCGAGTCCGGATGAATGAAAATGGTGTACTTAAAGTTCTTTTTTTTTACGAAAAGCCAACTTCAATGAACAATTTTTTAAAGTTTCATCGTTGAAATCAATTACTGAGTCATGCGAGTCTCACAAATTTTTTTACAAATTTTCAGAATGTTTGTCAGAAATAGATCAGTCTGTAAATAGTTTATATTAATTATTCAGGGTCGGTTTTTTGTTTATTCATCTCCTGATAAACTTACTGGTAACTATCTACAAGATAAATTATCCCATCAATAGTAATCCGATTGGTCAAGGAATAATTGTCCGACCAATAGGATTATAGATTGCGTTTTTATCCGTCTGATAATTTACTTGATAGTTTATCAGAAGGTGAATAAACCGCGGCTCATTGTTATAACAAAGATATTTAACATCAAAATTTGGATTGTTCAATTGCACGCGAAAACACGCCTTTTTCTAAGAGCATTTGAAATATCATTTCCTCTGCACTGATTCCGCAAACGGAAATCGTATGTAGTATTCTCTCACGTCACACCAATAGCAGAGCAGAGCGCTTTCATACATACCCCGGGAATTTGAATTCGGGACAACTTTAAAACCACATATCTATTTTGAAAATAGAAATTATTTAAACAAATTGAACATTTCTCAAACTTTTTAGAATCTTTATTCATTTTTCACTGCACCGGATAGTTCGCTCGAACCTCTCTGTCACATATTTCCATCCGCACCAAAATTTCGCTTTTTAAAGCTCGCCAACCGTCATTCAGGCCAGATTTTTCGCAGACAACCCTATATCATCGTGTTCGCAATAAAATAATTTTTTTTTATGTAAGATTTATTCATTAAACAGATGGGTGTGAATTACTAGTATCGACTCACCTGTTCAAACCTGCCAACCCAATAGTTATGCCAGGAAAAAAATAGACAACCCAACGTTTCTATATTCTTTAGGCCCTATACTTTCGATTAGTATGAAATTTGTTCGTTAAACAAATGAATGCAATGCCTTTAACAATTATAATTATTGAATTATATATTAATACTAGTCTGGCCAGGAATTTTTTAGCCAACCCACGCGTGATATTTTTTTTAACATACTAACTTTGATATAAAATATTTTTTACCTATTAAACAGATGGGTGCAGATCCTGTCCTATTCGGATTTTAGACTATAACTTTTATTGGTCTGGGTTTACCTTTGGATGCTTTCTTGCCCCCACGTATGACCTTTACTATGACATCAACCTCTATCTCATGACCCAACAAAGCAAATACGTCTTTTGTCACTTTTTTATCATGATTGATTTTAACAGGTAGGTTAAGAACAGTATACTTCCGAACATATCATCAGGTTTCTAGCCCTTCCAGATTGCTCATGGGCCCAATTCAAAATTGGCACAACATTTGATGTCAGAGCAGAGTTAAGTTCTTCAGTCTCCTCTTAAAGGTGTGTTGCATTTCGGTACTACCCACAAAGGTACACAAGCAACCTTTTTTGGAGTACTAGCACTCTAATTTATGAGCTAGACAGTCCTGAGCCGACTTCAGAAAGGTGGAAGACTACCCTACAGCAGTCGCAAAACTTTCGGTTGTCATCTGGTTTCATATCCAGGGCACAAGTGCATTCAATAACAGAGAATATATTCTGAAATTGTTTGCTTATTGGACGCATTCAACATTCTGGCATAGTTGGTGATGCTTTTTTGGATAAGATTCCGTGTCCGTGTCCGTCTTCACGTGCTTAAGATGGCGAAGAAGCTATAAAAAAGCAAGGGAACTTAGACATACTCCAGCTTCTTTGACAATCCCCTTCCATCGTACTGAACTTTTCAAAAACAGTTTTTCCTACAAAACCAGACAACATTTATGATCAGTTTCAGTTACCAGCGGATATAAAAGCTCCAAAATTAAAAATTTACTAGCTTTGAGAAACCATATGGTAACCAAAAACTCTTGATGGCGATTTCCCTGTATTTTAGGATTGCGATCTCTGTTATAATTTTTATTTTTTTGTTGTCTCTCATTACCCCTCCCATTAGTCCAGAAGTCATCCGAGCCTAATCAAGTATTAATTTATCCAAAAAAAAAAAAAATAGAACTCGAAGTAGAATATTTTATTTTATAAAAATAATTTGATAGGTAAAATAGCTTGTAGTAATTCGTTTCAAGATCAAGAAACTTCTGCTCAATATTTCAATTGAGGTGTAAGTCCCACTGTCCCACAAAATGCAAGGTAATATTACTGAGATTAGGGTTATTTCTTTTAGTTGATTCAAACGACGGAACAAATATTTTCTTGTTTGCTTCATGTTAACTCTACCACAAGAGCAAAGAATGTCGTAATCGTAAATGAATTTGACTGTGTCTCGACATTCGTGGGGTATCCTTTACTTTAGGGAAGACTTAAGCTGTTGATTCACATTATAGAACGGCTTTCTTGACCAATTTTCCCTGAAGCCATTATCATTTTTTTGAGACAGACTGGTAATCACATCAAGTTTTTTTGAGCCAAATTTCTCGTCTCGTTTCATATAAGATACTTGACTTGTAAGTTCATTTTTGGGTTCTCAGTCAAGCCAACAAACCAGATATAGACCAATTCAAAATGTATTTGTCAAGTAACTAGCTGCTGATCTATTTTGTTAAAATGCTTTTCTATTAAACATAAACCATAAGTTAGGCGAAAAAAAAATCACGTCAAATTATTCTATAGAGCAAAGCAAAATATGTAAAAAAGTAGGCCTTCGATTTTTCTCTGTACAAACAAAGACCGAAAGTTAACCAAACCAAAGTTATAAATATTTAATACGAACGACTGGTGGGAGCTTGCAGAACTTTTGTTTGCATTGTGTCAGTTACTGAAAACCTAATTTCGGCACTGAATCAAACTTTGTTCGTATTCTCGAAAGTGATTTCGGCCCCCTCTTGGTTATACACGCAATTTTCTTTTATTTTCACTTCTGCCGGGAAGGATATAAATACTAAAATACCTATAGGAGGGTGAATTTTAATTTTGTTACGTGGTGTAAATCAAAAATGTATCAAGCTTAAATAGGTACACCATAATTTATTAAATTCCAAGTGAGTTGCATAGAAACTGTTGAAGATTTTTTTATTTTGCCTGTAAACGAGTTCTTATTCATGGTGTGGAATCATCCTCAAGCTTTTATTGATAGCGGAGCTTATAAAGTATTGAACTTCAATTCCAAGCCAATGTAACTTCAAATACATTTAATCGCAACTCTATGAAAAAAGTCCGTTGCACGTTTTCCTTTATACATTTAAAGACGACGGATCAGAAATTCAGAAATCACGTTTCAACAGATGGCGCTGGACAAAACTAAATCGGAAATCAGAAATTGCCAGTTTTCCTGAATTCACAAAATTTTCTTTTCTATGAACAGTTTCTGACCATTTTCTTTGTGATAAAAGACATTTTTCCCTTTAGATAATTTATGAATTTTATTTTATTTTTAATCTTCCAACTTGATGTCAGGACTAATACAGTATCGTATAAACTCTATTTTCATTGTTTATTTCTACTCAAAGTAATTTTAATAGGCAATCAATTTAAACTCCGCCAAAATGATCGCTTATAATCAACCCCTCCTCGTTTATCATAGGCTTAAATTCCAATGGCTTTTACCTACTAGAATATATGATCGTCATTTGCCCTCCTAAGACACTTTAATGTTTGTCTCACTATTAAGTAATCTTTTTGGTTTAGGTCTATTAAATGGAAGACATTTTGCAACTTACCTATATTTAACTTCATTGTTGAAAACCTTTCAAGTGATTTGTTCCAAAATAGTTTTGGAGCTTAAACTAAAATTAGTTATATGAAATATTGTTTTGAGTCTAGAGGTGACAGAATTTAGTGTAGCAACGTCAGCTTTTCTGTTCAAACATTTCAGGAAACTTGTACAATGCAGTTCCAAAAATACTTACCGAATTAAAATTTCCAAAGTAAACCACGCGTTGCATATGCATTCGATATAAAAGAAGGCCACGTGAGCGTCCGTGTCCGATTTGTCCAGGATGTAGTCGCTCGAATTATTGTTCGTCCTCACTAGTATCCTGTTGATAACGGGCACCTTCATGTCCGGGTGGGTTTTCAAACAAAACGACAAAATGGACACGCAGATGAAAAATACTGAAAGGACACCTATCACCTGAAAAAAAATGTCAACGTTAGAGATTTTCTAGGATTATGGTTGATGGAATTGAATGACCAGTGAATGACAACGTTACTGTGATCCACTCCTCAGAGCTCGTAGCCTTTGTTTATATTTATAATAAATCAAGCATGACAGAAAAGTTGCAGGAGAAATAAAATATTCTGGGTTATGATGAATCAGGAGGTTGATGTCATCGTGAAAGTTATTCATGTGGGCTAATGATCAAATGAGAAACCGAGACCTTTGAAACTGATCTGCTGTAATACTGATATTGTCAGAAAAGCCCTTCGCTGCAAACAAGAACTGAGAACACGGTCCTCTCCCTACAAGATTGGGTATGATTCCACTAAAATGCAGCAAGCAGTGTGACAAAATTGAGATGTTATGTAAGAATTGATATTTTGGTAGCGTCAATAATTCTGTCACATCTTAAAATTTCGTAATAAATTATGCTGAAAAGTAAAGTTATCAGAACCGGAGGCAATATGAACGAAATCTTCTTTCTTCTGTTCTTGAAGAGCTTTTACTAAAACACCGGGCGGCAGATGAACTAGAGGATGAGAATCGGCGATAACTAGTAGTTAAAACTAGTGGCGATAATTGAAGTTAACTGGCCTCAACATCTGCTTAAATAAGCGAAAGGAACCACCCTCTGGGTACCACTTTAGAAGCCCATTTGCTACCCCTTAGTACCGAGCTTGTGAGAATCGATAAAGTCGAAGATCTCCAACCCTCTCAACTTTCAGCGATTCGCTGAAAGTACCATCTGGTTTTAGTTGTTTTCCCATTGGTACTCAAGTTTGTTCAACCTTCCCCATTCAAACTGCTACACCCTAAGATCCAGTTTGATGACTCTCCAACAGAGTTCGCTCGCTAATTACATGTGTTCAAATTTTTTAGTTGAACCTTTAATGTTTTGCCTTTTAATTGGAAACCTTCCCCTTTTCTAATTACCTATGCTTTCTTTTCTTATTTCCTAATTTCTAACCGAGTAAATAAAATAAAAGTTCCCTCATTTCTAACCTACTTATCAAGGGTGTGAAATAAACTAAACTATCCTCTATTAATTTAATAATAAAATAGTTGAGTAATCACTCCTATCTTAACCTACCTATATCTTAATTATAACTAAGCATTTGACTATCTTATAGTTTACATTTTACCAAAGTAATAACCCTTGATAATTATATTGTTATACAATTTGTTATGGTATCTTAAAAATCTAGCTCATATAATTATTGCTTCGCTCCACACACACATGCTTCGAATATAATTCTTTCCAGCAATGGTATCAGTTACCTGACATCTGGGTTCATCATAAAACGTGGGTAATCAGAAGATTATCCTTGACTTAGAATAAATTATTACAACCACATGGGATCTGGTTCAATCGACAGATTAGTTTAAAGTTAAGTGTTTATCCAGGAAAACATAAATTTTGCCTATATATTTGTCAATTTCGGGCTACAGCAATAATATTCTTGAAGCTATAAAATTCGATACTTTTCTGACTTTCAAGTGATTTTTACCCTCGAACAGATTAGGTCGTTCGCAGAACTCCATGTGTGTAAATTCCATTAGTGTCATATTTTAACTATCTATAAAAATAAAACTTTTTCCTACGAAAGATAAACTTGTACCGAGATTATGAATTTACTATTGATTTGGTTACAGCAGCTTTTAAAGTTGCCTATGATGAGTTCCAACGTAGGAAGCGTGATGGTGGGGACAACCTTATGATTAAATATAAGAATGGAATGCCAGTTATTGTCGCGAAAAGCAAAACTAGTCATTACCCCATTGATTTTATACTGTCAAAGTGTAAGAGGGCTATGCACTAAGTTAGAATCTCTGAAACTGGCTGTGAATAGTTCATCCTATGATATACTAATTCTAGTTGAAAGCAATCCTAATTGTGATATTTTAGACAGTGAATTGGAGTGCTCTAACTTTAAAATATTTCGAAGTGTGAAGTGTTAGATCAATCTTAACTAGCCAAAAGTCTAGTGGTGGCGGGGTTCTGATTTTTGTTAACAACAAAATTTTATCTAGCCGAAATCAAGTGAACCAGGATACAGAGTATTTATTTATCTCATGTGCTTATAACGGGTCTAAATTTATTAAAGCTGGGGTATACATTTCTCCTAACATGCCAAAAACTTACTACATAGCTCATAGTGGGGCAGTCGAGAATGAATTACACCTTCAAAGCTCTGAGAAAATTTATGTTTTTGGCGATTATAATCTACCAGAAGCTCGTTGGTCGAATGATGAATATGGAGTTCAAGTTAATTGCCCAGGTACATCGTATGGTGTTCAGATTGCTCAGTCATTCGGATTTCTACATCTTATATTCCTAACAACAGAAATGTATTTTTACATCTCATTTTTTCTAATGACACAAGTGTGGAAGTAGGTTTAGCTAAGGACCCAATATTAGATGATAGTTTTCACCATGTTAGGTATGAAATTGTTATGAAAAATTTAAATGGAAAACAGGAAACCAATTTATATTAACAAGATTTTTATTAGGACTTTACAAATGCTAATTACTTTGAGCTCAATAATTTTTTAGCTAGTGTCGATTGGGAGCCTGTCTCGGTGTAACATTAATAAGGCTACCGAAATATTTTATGAGATACTGGGTATAGGTATTACCTGTTTTGTTTTCTTAAAGAAATACAGATCCTGCACATACCCAAAATGGTTCTTACATGAATTGCGTAATCTTACCTTTCAAAAAAGAAATGTACATAAAGCTTATATTAAATCTAGGTCACCCACGGACTACTTAAAATTTTCTGGGTTACGTTCGGAGTGCAGAAGAGTTAGAGAGAAATGTTGGTGCAGTTACATGCCCTTCCACAAACAATGTTTTACAATAATGAGAGTGCCACTAGTAGGCACGATGTAGCTAATCTTTTTAAAAAAATACTTTGAGACTGTTCATTTTCCAGAAAATCTGGATAACTTCTCTTTCTTTGAACCTTCAAAGAAATATTTGGAGTCATTCGACTTTGCGCCTATTTCTCTAGAGGAAATTTATGATAAGATCTCAAAATTACCAAACAAAAATACCTTGGGGCCAGACGGAATTCCCATTCTGTTACTCAAACCCTGTATCTGCACTTTGACGTCCCCATTGTATATCTTATTATGTTAATCTATCTTTACCAGAATTTACTTTCCAAGACAAAAGGAAAGATAGTTTTATTGTACCAATCTACAAAAGTGGGGAAAAATAACGTTTCCCAATAAAAGTGGTTGTGCCGCAACCTCATTCACAAAAATCAACATTGGTTTTGCTCAGGTCAGTCGACATTGACAAATTTAGGTAGTAACCTACCAAAATAACATAGTCAGCGACTTGGAAGAATTTAAACAGGTAGACGCTATATACACCAGATTTTACCAAAGCCTTTGACTGAGTGGATCATGTAATTTTCCTGATAAGACTCCAACACATTGGTTTTGGCACAGCCTTAGTTGGTTGGACCATGAGTTTTTATCTGGTCACAATCAAATCGTAAAGATAAGTTCTTATCAGTCGGATTCAATTAATGTTTCCTCAGGAGTCCGTCAAGGGGGACATTTTTCTCCACTATTCTTTAATATTTTTCTTAACAGTATATTTGACTGTCTTCAGAATAGTGATGGTTTATCTTTCGCTGATGACTTCAAGGCATATAAAATCATTAACTGCCCTAATGACCAACAATTCTTGCAAGAAGACCTAGATAGGCTAAGTGTTTGGTGATTAGATCACAAATTGAACCTAAACGTATTGAAGTTCTGCTTTGTAAGTTTTTTTTTAAAGGAAAACGTAAGTTCGACACTGCCTACTCCTTGGATAGGCTGCCTCTAATTATTGTTTCGAAAATAAAAGACCGTGGAGTTATATTTGATGAAAATTTAACATTTGTGAAGCATATAAATTATGTTACAATGAAGGCATCCAAAACGCTGTAGTAAGATCACAACTTGAATATGCGGATGTGGATGGTCACCTTACCATGCAGTTCATGTTTGTACCGTGGAAAGAATGCAACATAAATTTTTGACGTATTGTGCATTCAGGTTGGGAGTTACTATTCAGGACCATAATTTTACCCACATTCAAACTTCACTTAGTCTAAAAACTTTGGATGAGCTTAGAAATAAGACAGGTTTAACTTTTATTTATAATCTGGTGAACAGCAAGATTAATAGTCCAGACCTAGTTGAACGTATAAATATCGAAATATCTAGTAGGAATAGAAGGAACAATTTCACAACTTTTCACATTCCGTTCCACCGAACAAATTATGGTCAAAATATGCGTTTAGATCGTTATTCTAGACTGGTTAATCATTATCACTTCGTAATCATTGATATTTCACTGTCAAACTTTAAAAAGCAGATAGATAGTTTAAATTTTAATTAACTAGGGTATTTTTGTTAAGTTTTTTGGAATATGTAATTGGTGGTAAGCAGTATATTTTGCATAAGTTTATTTTTGTTAATTGTATACTATCAATGGGGTTTTCCCGTAGATATATTCATCTTTCATCTTTGCTAAATAGTAAGACTTACGACCAACTGAAAACAACCTTCATAAATCGCTTCAGTCCGAAAAGGTTAACAATCGCAGAAAGAGTTCTACTCTTCCAAATTAAAAGAATTGTCACAGTATTATTCATTTGGAAATTTTCTTGAAGATGCCCTCAGAGCTAAATTTGTTTGTGAACTGAAGTCAGAATCAAATAAACATAACCTGTTATCAGAACAAAACTTGTCTTGGGTAAACGATTATAATATAGCTGTGGCAATGGACCTAGCTGAACTAGCTGAAGGGCAAGTCAGAGCTATATATAGTACGATCAGTAGCGAAAGTCTCCAAGTTAACAAATTAGGTCATGAGAAAGTCACTCGTCACAATGTAAATCCAGAGAAGAAAGATCTGCCCGCAGTCCAGTCATATTCCTATACCCTTTCAAGGGAGAATGAAGCCATGC